CAGTTTCTTAAAATCAGTAAGAAAAAATATGTAATGATTGCTGATATATTATTGATGTTGTGTCATAGTCAAAAGAAAGGAGAAGATATTAAAGAATATATCAAATTTTATATTGAAATTTATAAAAAGTTTAATGTTAAAAATACAGTGAGAGATATTAATATTATTTTTAAAATGATGTATGAAATAAGTGAGATTTGTCAATTAAATTATTATCCTGAACTGAAATTATAAATTAACTCATAAACCTTACAATTTAATTTTATTGTAAGATTTATGATTTGGATTTATAGATTTAGTTTCAAGGAATATTGATTATATTTTCAAGGAAGTTTTACTAGTAAAACTAGTATAAAGAAATATTGACATTAAATATTAGTTATGGACTGGATGGATTATAACTACAGAAGAAATGCTATAATACCTGAAAAGGAACTGGTGGAACAAAAATACGATTATCAATGTAATATATGCCTTTACTGGAAAAAAGTTAATGATTTTGGAATTAAAACCACTGGACGGATTTATAAAAATTGTAAAAGGTGTAGAGAAGTAAGGGAAAAAGCAAGTATAAAAAGAAAAGAAAAAAGCAACATCTTAAAACAAATAAGCATAAAAGAAATTTAGAAATGAAACAGGCAGAAGAAAATTAACATTATTTTTATTAATAAACATTTTACATAAAATTGTATAAGGTTAATATGTAGAATAACTTCTTAACCTTATATAATATTTCAATGAAGTAAAATTATTTTTCAAGGAATTAGATAAGGTTAATGAATATGAATAATGTATTAACCTTATTTAATATTTGAATTATAAACCTATATTTTATATTTTGGTAAGTTGTTCTGAAAATTATTTTACTTCGCTCAACATCTGTTCTTGTATTTTTTCCCCCCTCCTTTACCCCACCCCGAAGGGCCTCGAACCGGGGGGGGACGGGGTGAGGCTGCTGCTGGTGATCAGCGCGGCGCTGAGCAGCCTGGTGTCCTTCACCGTGGACCGCGGCTCCGAGATCCTCCAGGCGCGGCTGGGTGTCCTCGAGCTCGGGAGGTGCCACTAACGGGCGGAGGAGTTTTGGTTTTGGGCCACAAAAAGGGGGGCTAGCTTCTGCGGTGGGGCCTTTTTCTTCTTCTTTTTTTTTTTTTTTGGGGGGGGGGTTGGTTGGTTCTGTTCATGTTTAGTCGTCTGCAAAAACGAGGTTTTTTGCCACCATTGGGTTACTTGGGAGGTCGGCCAAGTTCGTAAATGGTGACCTAGGTTTTGGTTTGCCTCCTCAAAATCCAGGTAGATGAAGGTTGGACGCCTTTCTAATTCCTTACATGTTCATTCTGCCAGATTTTGATCACTCAGTTGGACCTCTTCGGCCAAGTTCGTGGGTCCAACTGTGAGCTTCTGCGCTCCTTGCCTCTTTTTGGATTGCCAGGTGTAAGTCTCATCGGCAAATCCGTTTCGACGGTGTTTCCACTTGGACCCCTTGATAAACACAGCTTGGTTAGCTCATATCAGTAGCTTTTGCTGGTTCCCATTTTCTAAAGGATACATCCAATCTCAAAACCAGCCTGTTTTACATGGTTTCGGGTCCTGGTGAAGAAGTTTTAGACTGGCCCAATGCTTGCTTTGAGGGACCCAGTAGGGATTCACCTTGGGGTTTGAGAATGGCGTTTCAGTGCTGCTTCTCCTGGAAAAAGGGCGGCATCTGCCTTGAACTACCACGTCTTCTTCAGACTCAGAGAAATGTCTCCTATGAAAGACCCGACACCGACTGGGGAGGTGGCCTTTTCTGTTTGGTGGGAAAATGGCGATTTGATACCAAAACGGTCACCCATGGTAGGTCCCCGGACCGATCTCTCTTGTTCCAGAGCCCCTGCCATGGATGCCATCGACTCCGCGCGTGAGGCAGTGACCAACGGCACCCTAGACTTCGTGCAGGGAAGGGCAGGTCAGTCGCAGCTGGGCTGATGATGATCATGGGTAACCTTTCCCATCGAGTGGGACATATCAACTCTTTTCGGTGGTCTCCAACCACTGGTCTTCGCATGTTTCTCGGACCTTTCGATCAGCCCCCCAAAAAAACCAACCCGAGCATTTGTGGCACCCGAGTTCGGTGCGGGAAACAAGTTGTAAGGGATATTGGCTGTGTCCATACTGGACTTGGATTACAAAGGCGGGTACGTGCCAAAATAGGGCAACCCCCAAAAATAGAGAAGAAAACACACTTTTTTTTCTTATCTGTTGGTCAACCCGAACAATGGCACCCTCAAAAAAATACACCAGCATAGACCCCAGATAGCGAAACACGTGCCAACGATTGCACTGTGGCACCTGCACACCGAGACCCTTCCGTCAATCTGGCAGAAACATACCTGCCCGTCACCAGGCCCCCCAAACAGCACTCCCAGAGCACCCGGCCGTCAATTTCGCGAATGTCCATCACCAGCACCTCAAACAGTACCCCAAACACCATCCCAAAACCCCACCTTCGCCAGCACCCCAGACTGCATGCCCCCTAGCACCCTATCTTGCAAAAGTGCGCCCGCGCTGTCGCCTGCACACCCGAAATCACCAACAGCTCAAACAGCACCTACACCAGCACCCCAGACTGCATGCCCCCTAGCACCCAGCCGGCAATCCCGCAAATCACTTCCCTTCTTTATTAGAAGTTAGAACCCCTATAGCTTTCAGCTAGCTGGGGAAAGCAAACACACACACACACTCACCCAGCCATGGTCTATTTCAATATCGCCTGGAGGATTTGTGCCTGGTTGCCGCGCCAAAATCGATCCTTTCCGAGTCAGAGGGGTGTGGCCCCCGAGTTTTGTTTTTCGGTTTCCGTTTTATTGGGGGGAGGGGTATTACCTGAGAGTAGTTTGCTGTTCGCTGTGCTTTGGGGGTTTGGGTTCAATTAGCCCCTAATTGAAGAATTGGTGGTTTGGATTAGTTGGGGATTTGAGTCCGTGGTTCTTGAGGGTAAATCCAAACTGCCCTTAAATGGTAAATCCAAACTAAAGAATGGGAAACTGCCCGCAACCAAACCGCAAATCCAAATCACCCACTGGTGGGACGCCGGATCGATCGCACCCCACATGCGTCACCCATCGCGCACCCGAGGATGCCCTTGGACTTTGCCGTGCTGTTCCTGTGCCGCTGGGCTTTGATCGGCTGAGAATCCGAACTTCCCAAACAAAACAACATGTCCCCAAAACCAACATGAGACTCGACTCCACACCTTTTTTTCTTTTTTTTTCTTTTCCGGGTTTCAACCTTTGGGAGACTGACTGACTTCGGGCCAAACGAAGCCCCAAGGGGGTCCAAGGCTATCCAGGGCTGGCCAGGTGGACTCTGCGACCTCCAGTCCAGCACAAGCTTTGCAACAACCCTCTTCGGTTAGATCCAAACAGAAGCTTCCAACCATTCAGAGTTCCAAGGAGTTCACCTTTTGGACATGGGCCGCATGGTCTTTTTCCAGATGTTTCAAGGGTCAGGTTCCGCTGCCATGTTGGGTCCGATTCCGAGGGAATCCCAGGCGGCAAACCCTCTTTTTTCTTGAGGTTGCCAGGGACGGTCATCAACCTTCTTTTGGGGATTTGAGACAGCCCTTGTGTTTCGCGTCAGTAAACCACGACAACAAGGCATCGAGTTTCAGAATTCCGCCCATGGCACACTGGGTGTGTCTCTTTTTTGGAGGTTGCTACCTTTCTTGGGTTTGTTTCGAGGGAAGCGATGGGGTGACCCTCATTTTGTCTGGTGCCGAGACGTGGTTGGTTTACTTGCAATATCTGCGTTTGTTTTTGTTGGAACCTTTTTTGGTTTAATCCGTCTTTTTGTGGGCTTGCTTTTTTGAATCCTAGTTGGCGGGGATGCTGGCCGCTGTTGGGGGGTGTTCTTTGAAGGCTTGGGAAAACAACATCAGTCGCCCGTCGCAAGGCCAAAAATGTGGATGTGACGCAGGGTATGCTGAGGAGGAGCTTGCGGACCAACAAAACACGTCAGCCACATACCAGATATCCCACGGGCAGGGTTGAACTCGCTCTTCAAGCTCGAAGACACACTGCGCAACCGGATATGCGTGTTTTGTCTTGCTGGTGCTCAGCAGGGAACGAGGGAATGACCAGTGGAAACCACCCCTTTTGGCTTCCTAGGGAATCCCTGGGTTCATTCCCATGACTCCCAAAAACCATCCAACTGGTGGTTTCCTTCAAAAAACCGTACTGCACACCAGCAAGCGGGTCTGCGTGTTTTGTTTCTGCTTTTTTGGTTCGTTGTGGCCGCATGAAAGCAAGTGTTTTTTGAGAAAAAGACGCTTGCGGGGGCTTTGTAAACCATCCCTTTTGGCTTCCTCCAAGGGAATCCCTGGGTTCATTCCCGTGACTCCTAAAAACCATCCTTCCTACAAAATCCCCCATGTTCATTCAACCACATTCCCCACCTATCGCACCGATCGCTAGCGGATCAGACGCTTCCCTCATCGGGCTGGAAGGGAGGGGAGGGGGAGGGAGTGTAAATAAGCCCTTATTAAGCCCCCCCTCCCTCCCCGCAGCCCCCAGCCCCCCCAGCCCCCATGATCCGTCGGTTTTGGCGCGCCGAGGCACCGGCGCGATGCTGTGGTGCGCCTACGGCCTGGTGCGGCTCTGCCCCGAGGCCGCGGGCTCGGGGCTGCCGGAGGTGAAGTGCATCCTCAGCGCCTCGGCGGCAATGGACAGGGAGGGGTGGGGGGTGGGGGGTGGTTTTTGAGGCTCCTTTTTTTTTTGGGGGGGGGGGAAGTTGAGGGGAGGTTTGGGGGAGGTTGGGGGGTTGATGGTTAGAGGCTTTGGTCGCCTTTTTGGATTGAAAGGGAGGCAAAAGGAAAGTTGCTTGGTTGTTCTTTTGCTTTTCCGAGGCTTGGTGGGGTGGTGAAAGAGAAACAGAAGGAACCGAAAGCACACCATTTGGTGGGCCTAGTTGCGGACTCAAGCGCGCTCCCTTGAAAATCAATAGAGTCGTTGGGCCCAGAGGTCCTATTGGGGTTGAAAATGGATGGAATTCACTGGTGACGCTCTCATCACTTGCCACCGCCAATTGCTTTTGCGCATGGACGCCTGTCTGAGAATGGGTCATTTTTGGCTCAAGCCTGCTGTCCTGTTTGGCAAGAAGGAGCTATCATGTAGTTAAAGATCGCCCCCCATGGTCGAAGAAAGAGCAAACGAATGGTTTGATGTGGCACCTGTAGGACTTTCAGATCATGGCTGGGATGTGGATGCTGAGACAGGCCAAGGGTCTCTCTCGCATCGACCCGGCCCTTGGGGAAGCCAACTGCTGAGAGCTGATTTCAGGCGCATACCCGTGTCCTGCGCAGAGCCAACCGCTGTTCTAGTGAGACCCGAGGCTCGGCATCTGCGCCCACAGGAGTTGGACGTGCTGACGCGCGAGGAGCTTCTTGTGCACATCGCCCCCGGCGATGCCGTGCTGCGAGGTACTTGCGAGCTGGGCTGGGCGGCACGCCCCTCTTCCAGCGAGCGCGTCAAAGCCGTGCGCCGCTTTGTCGCCCTCTTTGGCAACATCGGAACGCTTTGGATGAACAATATCTGCGAAACAGAGCTCGCGCCCACAGTCAGACACCAGCTGCGACGGAACTTCCCAGCGAAGGGAGACGCCACAGTTTGCAGCCATGTCACCTGTTCTGATGGGAATCTCCGGTGGGCAATGAGGATATCAAGAGCCGACGGACCGAACACTTTTCGTATTTGCTTGCTATGGACCGTACCAATCTGCGCTTCAGCGCACTGGCTGCAAGCATGTCTTGAGGAGATGCTGGGCGCCGCTCGCCAGCATGTGATCTACTACCTCAATCATGCCAGTATGGCACACTTCCGCAAGCTTGACAAGGAGTTGTATGTGATTTTGTCCATAAATCACTTCCGGCGTGGGCCGCCGCTGCTTCCTCATGCTGGGCCTGACAAGCCCGATGTCAGGATTTCCAGCGACTGGCTTGGTTCTTGGAGCTCTGACAAGTCCAAGTTCAACGCTGCCAGCTACATCCAGCAGTTCCTCCGGCGACTGGGCCACGCCTTCCGAACCTTTGACACATTGGATGGCCAGAAGTTGGTGCCATATCAGGCAGCCCTTCGCCGTGATGAGTGGGAGAAGGTTGGGAAGGAGTTGATTCAAGCCTTCAGCCTCCAGAAGGCTGCGTATCGTCGTCTCCATGGAGGATGCCAAGCGCCGGACTTGAAGGAGAACAACAGGCCTACTTACCAGCGACGAGATCCGTTCGGACAGCAAGCATGGTCGAAGCATCCCTCAAAGCCGCAATTGGTGGTTCGGCGGACCTTCATCGACATCGATGATCGTGAAGATGATGCTGATGACCTGCAAATGAGGAAGACCAAGTCCCTACGCTAATGTTGCAGTGTTTTTGTTTTATTCGTGTGTGACACCCGAGCAAACTGTACAAAACATTTGCTCGCGGGTTCACACGCTTTGTACAGGCAGTCTGCAAGCCTGCGAGCCTAGATGCCTGCCTTATCTGCATCTCCTGTGTACAGAGCTTCTTTTGATTTGCACCCACCCCTCAGCGGACTTTCCTGGTGATTTCGTGCACAAGAAAGAAAACACCATGGGAACCGGGCCAGGTTTCTCTCTGTCTCTTTTTCAATACGCCCATTCTTCTTTGACCGCAGAGCTAGCACATCAACTCATGGAAGGTTCCCCCGAGAAGCATTCCTGCGACCTCGCTCAGCAGAATGCAGACTCAGGGTGGACCTCATGCTCGGAAAAAAAAGGGCACATTTCATTGGTTGAAGCCTTGTCCGCCAGTGTTCCTGGGGCTTGCAACAAGATCTTAACACGAAGCTCGAGCTCCAGCACCAGCAGCACCCGATTTTACCCGGAGCCCGCCGTCCCGCCGTCCCGGCGGCTCCATCCTCCGGGGCGGTGCGCGTGGCTCTGCCCCGCGCCAGGCGGCATTCAGCTGGAGAGGTTCCTGTCGGCGAAGGTGCTGCTGGCCAAATCCGTGGGCCTCGCGCTGGTGCTGGGCGCCGCCTTGCCGGTGGGCAAGGCAGGTGGTGCTGTTCCGGGGTTGGGAGAGGGTCCGGTGGGAGAGGGTCGGTCCGGTGGGTGGGTCCGGTGTGGGAGGTGGGGTCCGGTGTGGGAGGTGGATGGGTGGGGTGGTGAGGGCCTTGGAGGCAGCGGAAGGCCAAGTTCAGCTTCAGGAGGGCCCCTTCGTGCACATTGCCTCCTGCATGAGCGCCCTCCTTCTGCGACTTGGCGGACTGAGGACCTGAGAGCTGTCGAAAAGTGCAGCTCCGGGGTATCCTCTTCAAAAAATCCCATGGGACCTCACATGTAGGATGCGGACTCTAGGGATTCTTGCCGTTGCCGCGCGCAACGCGGCCGGTTCAGTCTAGTGTTTTCTTGCAGCTCGGAGCCCTTTTTGGGCTTGTGATTGGAGGAAACCACAGTTGAGAACCGACTCCCGTTTTCCAAAAGGACATTTTGGGGGAAGCGCGGCCGTTTCTCAGGAAGTCCGAGCGCTGCTTTGCATCGGTCAGCCTGGACCGACAGGACAGCGACTGCGGCATCTCGGGTCCGGTGCTGGGTGGAAAGGAAGCAAAGGTTTTTGTTTTTGTTTTGGGCTTTTCGTCTCACTTTCTGAGTTCCCTTTTTCTGACTTTAGTCACTTGGCGGGGCTCATCCACTCAGGAAGGGAGTGGTTGGTGTTAAAGGGGAGCAAAAAGGAACCATTTTGAGGTGGCTTCCGCTTTTTGAGGGCAATTGGCCACAGAAGAAAGGGGGCAAGCGTTAGAGGTCTGGAGGATGAGTTTGTGGCTAGCCGACGACAAGCAACAAATGCTTGGATAGACACTTAGCTCTGTTCGGCAATCAAGCCACCTGTCGCTGTAAACTGCTGATTTCAAGACAGTCCAGAATGGCAGTGCCCCCCACTCAAAATAAGGAATCCACTTGCAAAATATCATTTTGGGGTTTCAGACCGTCATTGGGGTCCATGAATTAAAGTTCATAGGACCAGATCTCGAAACCTAGCGCAGATGCTTGTGCCAGCGCAAAGAACGCGAGAAACCCACTCCAGCAAAACAAGACTCCTTTCTTTTGCTAAGCTGTTTCTCCCCAACAGCAGGGGGTCTCTGCCCCGAGGGGCTCTGAAGTGGTTTGGAGCGGTCCCGGGCAGTTTTGGTTCCGGAAGTTTTCCCCGAGGTTGCTGTTGTTGGAATACTGTGGATGGACGAAATCCTGCACCTCAGATACCCTGCAAGGATAATTCCCCTGTAAATACCAACAAGAAGTGGTTTCCCCATGGTTTTCACTGCGGTGATGGATTTCGTGCAACCCGAAGGGCCTCGGCCATTTGCCTATCTGGGACTTTCTTTGCGTCAAAGGAGAAGTTCGCCATGTCCAATTCTCTCAAATGAACGGGGCTTTGCTGGGTTTTCGGAGCAGGTGTAACCCTCACTACACCAAGGTGCAACCCTCAAAAGAACGCGCACACACACACACACACACCAACATCTTGCTGGGAAACCAAGAGGAAGACCACCATTTGGGGGTTATCCCTATTGGACACATACCCACATGAGTGGTTTCCTTTGTTTGTTCTTCACTTGTTTGGCCTTGCCTCCTTGCCTACCTTGTCAAACTTGCCTAACGTGGCTGGACTCAACCCCCACAAACATGTAGTTCTTCCTGTTTCCCTTTAAATCAAGGTGTACTGTATATCGGCAAACTACTTTTGTACTTGTCAGGTGGCTCCAACTCTCCAAATTCGTTGGACGTGTCTCGTAATGAGAGCACTCTCAATGACGTAAGTTGGTTGGTTTTCTTTCGATGTCCGTTTCCATTTGTACCATCCTCAAAGGGTACCCATGCTCGCGCATGTACTTTTTCCGGAATCCTCAAGAAGGGTAGGCACAAGGGGGGTAATCAAGAGTCGCAGGGTGTTTTAGGTTTCCTTGGGGTTCCTTAGGCTTGTTGAGGGTTCCAGAAGATTCCTTAGCATTCCATAATTCCATCAACTTCATTAGAATTCTTTCCAGGTCCTCAGACTTTCTTTTTTTGGGGTTCCTTTGGGTTCCCTATCACTTCCCGAAAATTTTCGCTCCCCGAGGCCAGCTCCCCTTGGCTTTGTCGACCACCGCCCCCCCCGCGCGCAGGAGGTGCTGCTGGCCGCGGTGGCGGTGGGGGTGGGCGCCACCTTCTCCGCGCCCGTGGGCGGCGTGCTGCGCCTCGGAAGAAGCGACGGCGCCGGTTTTTCGCCCGGAAGTCCGGGCCGTGGGGATGGGGGGAGTGGAGCTGAAGAAGTAATTGGATATACGTCTCAAATTATGGCGGGAGTTTTGGGTCAGTACGCAGCCCATGATCATTCTTTGTTATTCCTTTACTCGAGGCGAATGTTGTTTCCCGCAAGACTCATGTGTCTTGCCTGGGCTATGCTTTTTTGGCAGTGTCTCCAAATCGGGAAGCCCTGTTTTGGATGGGTTTAAAGGGAACCCAAAAGAACAAGCACCAGGAGAAACCCAAGCACAAGTAAGAGTTGGCGCCTGAACTTCAAGGAACAGGGCTGTGTGAGCCCAGAATGGCTGTGCTCTCCCATTTGTCCTTGGGCCCCTGAGAAGGCGCCCATTGGACGCACGGATTGTATCGAATTGCGAGATGCTTGTAACTGTCGATGAATCGTTGTTGCATTGCTCACCGGGCTAGCTCCTTCCAGCTTTTGGCGTACTCAGAGTCCCTTCTGGGAAGGGCGGCGGGGACCAAGCATCAGACTTCCCCCTATCCCGGTTGGGCCACTCCCCTACTTCAACATGATAAACCCATCATTGTTTGAACAGCCTCCTTTTGGCTTGCCTTTATATGCGACAACTACCTGCTGGTTGTGAAGCGACAACCTTCCCAACCTCCGCAAAAGACTGGGTTGGTGGCAAGAAAGGGTCTGCTTTTTGCCCTAGGTGTCCCTTTTCTTTTTTTTCTGAGTTGGGATTCCAGAATTTGGCCACACAAGATTGGGGTCTGCTCTTTTTGCCCTAGGTATGCTTTTTCCTTCTTTTTGTTTGTGTCTGGGTGACATGGGGTCTCCCCCCGAATTTGAGGTTCGCCCTGGAGCTGATGATGCCGCGGCTCTACGACACCTCCTCCTACTCCGCCTGCTTCTTCGCCTCCACCTTTGGCACCTTCGCAGCTCGGCTTCGCTTCGCTGCGCTCAGGCCACCTTTTCCGGGGGCGTCTGTTCAGCGGCACCTTTGCCCCATGGTGGTTTTGCCCGCCAGAAAACCAGCATGGCGACTGGCAGAGTGAGGCCGGCAGGGGCCGCTCCCCGCGAAAAACAGCAGAAGGAGAGGCGGAGCTTTGTTGAGGGATTCGATTTCTTTGTGTTGGGGAGCGGATCTCAAATATGGGAAGTCAGAAAGCCGGCTGGCTGGGTATGAGACTCTTTGAACTTGGCCCAGCTGGAAGCTTGGCTTGAGAACCATCGGGTTGTCAATGGCTTTGGGGGCTTTGAGGGCTTTGGGGTTTGCTCTCAACCGCTAACAGAAGGAATCTGACAATTGGACCGGATCCGACCAAACCCAGGCAAACCCCGCCTTTGTGAGTCGGAAAAGCGAAAGCTGGCGAAGCTGGATGTTGCCTTTCTGGCTGAGGTGTTCATGTGTCTCAACATGCTCTTCTCCGGCGACGGGCAGCTGAAGCCCCTCTTCAATTCGGATATCACCCCCGGATTCGATGCCGGCATCGAGGCGGAGACGCTTGCATGCAGAGTGTTGAGGGGGGGGGGGGGGCTGGCTGGCTGGCTGGTGGGCTTGTGGCTATTGTGCTTCCAGAAGGCTGAAGGCGCTCCTTACCTGCACAGTTCAATTGGAAATTGGCAAGTGTCCATCGCTGCCAAGGAGACTTGCTTGCCTGAACCTCCGCTGATATCGAGAGTTCTCTACATGCTGGAGACTTTTTGTTTGCTTTCTTTCACGCAAACGGGGCGAATCCGGTTCTCCCTTCCAAAAACAGTTACACAGTGGCATGGAGAAGGGCCAGAAGGTGAACCTTGCATTTGCAGGCGTTTGGGGCAAGCCTACCCTGCCTTCACCAATCACGGAAGCTGCCAGAGTTTAGGAAACCGAAACCTGTCCTTTTCTCTTGGAGTGTCCTTTGTGTTTTTTGGTTTCCCTTGAACACCCACTCAACAAACCACACATAAACTGGGGTCTCCTCCTAAACTACATATCTTAAGGTTCTTTCTAAGTATGAACCAGAATCAGAGCATCAGATGTTCTGCCTCTTTTTCTTCCTGGCTCTCAGCAGGAAATGAGCTGGAATGACCCCGATTTAAGCCATCCCCTTCGGTGGATGGACGAAATCCTGCACCGCCTGGTGATTTCCCTGCAAATTCCAACAAACAATGGTTTCCCCTGGTTTCAAAGTGGTGCGAAATGGATTCTGTCCATCCACATGGTGCCCTTCTGGGAAGCCGGACTCCCCGAAACCGGTTCATCCGGACTCGTCATTTCCACCCATCGCAAGTTTGTTGTGGGCCAAGAAAAGAAGATCCAGGCGCCGCGCCTTCTCCGCGGCTGCCGAGGATCCTCTTCCTGGTGCTCTCCTCGGTGACGGGGGCCTTGAGCGGTGCGTTGGCCAGCGCCTTTGTGATCTGCCACAGGTCGGGAGGGGTGTTGGGGTGTGGGGGGGGGGGGAGGAGTGGGGAGGTGGGTTTCGCCGGCATGCCCGGCAGCGCTTGGCGCCAAAATGCGCGAAAATGAGCCTCGCTTATATCCCTCCGATACCTTCTAAAAAATACAGCGCTTCATGGGCTTTTTGGAAGGAAGCCGTGATGCAGACCAAGCCCCGCTGAAGCATCACCCAGGCCCAACCCCAGACCCTGATGATGTCAGCCACATGGCCTAAACCCTGCATATACGCGATGTTTTGCAAGGCTTTCCCACAGCAAGCAAAACCGCAAGCCCGAACTAATGATACAGAAATACCGGATTTAGGCAACGCATCACGACCAAGTGACGAGGGTCGGCGGCACACGGGTGCAGCCCCTATAGCTGAAGCTAGCAGGCAAAATGTCTAGCGGCGACATGCTACCCCAGCAGGCGTAGCCGGTGGCGCCGCCCCCGGCTTGCTTATAACAACTATGACTACGCGTTTTTTGTCGGGTTTAACGGCACACTTCAAGCATATATGAAAAAGAAGAGCACCACGATAATGATCATGTTTTTGATGATGCAAACTATTGCCCAACATTAGGGATGCGTATATTTATTATCACGCATTCGCATTATCGCCAGCAGTCATGAACATAACTGTTGCTTTGCATTTTTTGCATCACCAGCAGTTGTTATGACAATTATGACGACGCGTGCCCTGCATCCCAAACAAGCTACTGCAGGATTAATTCGCATGATAATGAGCACCTTGGTGGATTTTACAAGAAGTGCCCCCGGTGTGTGGAAACTGCACTTTTCTTTTGTTCGCAACACTTCGTTGTATTGCTGTGGATGCAAAGCGTGGACTTTGTGTCATCGCTACGTCTTCGCAAGAAGTAAGCTGTTAGCACGGATGCAATCAGATGGTGATGATGATGATGCACACCCGGCATGACTACACATCCCCTGCATGTCCAGTCGGGTCATGATGATGATGATGATGATGATGATGATGATGATGATGATGATGATGATGATAATCCTGATGATAATCATCACTACGCATCCCCAGCATTACCAGCAGTTATCATGACAATCATGACTACGCATCCTCTGCATTTATAGTCGGGTCTAACGGCACACTTGAAACGTACATGAAAAACCACGATGATCATCACTATGCATCCGTCATCATGATATTCGTCACTGTGCATCCCTGCGTGTCACGTCGGGTCATCAATGATCATCCTGATAACAATTATCGCTATGCATCCCCAGCATCAATCATCACTACGCATCCTCTGCAGTTATAGTGGGGTCTAACGGGACACTTGAAACGCATATGAAAAAGAAAAGCGCCATGATGATCCTGATGATACAAATCATCACTCAACATCGGTGATCATCACTAGGCGTCCGCAGCACATGTCAAGTCGGGTCATGATGATGATGATGATCCTGATGATCACCGTGACGACATCCAGATGATAACAGCATTTACCTGCAAACCAAGTCGGGTCTAACGGCACACTTGAAACGTATATGAACCAGAAGAACGATGATGATCTGGATGCTGCGAACATCGCCCAACATGAGCGGTGATGATAATCATCACGAACACAAGGACGAGTACAAACCCTTCCCATGCGCCTCCCCTTTGGGGGTCCGCGGATTTTACCAAAAGGACGCCTATGGTGATAAGGTTTTGGGTTCAGGAAAGCTAATCAACACAATCAAAGGAGCTTCGACATGGGGCGTTTCCGTGTTGGTTTCGCTTGAAGCAACAGGGCAGTGTGGAAGCGGGACTGCGAAGCGCAATGTTGTCAGGCGGGCCGTTGGTGGCATGAACAGCCTCAGAGGATTGACGCCTCTTGGGTGCACAAGTGGGGTTGCTTCCAGAATGAGGGCCAAAATGATTGGTTTCCATTTGGCGGGCACGAAAGGGTCTCCAAGTTCAAGACATTTAGGGGGCCAAAGCCTAACTCCGTTATCTTTGGGTTGGAGGTGTCTCCAAGTCCCTGCAAGTTACTGAAGGATCTGGTTGTTTGTCCGCGAGTGACAGGCCACGTGTGTGGTTGAACTTTGGACTAGCGAGCAACTTGGCCTACTAAGAACGAGGAGCCAGTTTCGACTTTTTTTGATCCCATCCAGGGCCTGAAACAAGCATGTACCATCCCTCCAACAATCATGGAAGCTGAGACGAGGTTGTCGGAAGGCTGCTTTCCTTTTGGGGAGGTTCGAGGTCCACCAAATTCTCGTTTTCCTTTTTGCCAAACAACCAAAATGTCCATGTGGCTGAACCCCCGTGTGCGAAGCGTGAATTGTAAATAGTCCCAGCCCAAGTCTTTGGTATCATCCTCTTCCTTTCTCATTTTTGTTCAAAATTCACAGCTGGTTCTGCCCCGGAACCATGAAACATCTTTCTCATCTTGGTTACAAGCTGTGCAAAAACCATCTTTCCCCCGTTTTCTTTTTTTCCTTTTTTGTTTTCTGTTTTGCACCGCTCAGCGCTTCAAAGAAGCCTTGGCCTCGCCTCCAACCACCGCCGCCCCTCAGCCGCTCTCGGCTCTCGAGGAAGGCCGCGCCCTCGGCGCCCCGAGACCTGGCCATCTTCCTGGGCGCCGGCGGCGTGGGCGCCTTCCTCCGCGTGGGCGTGGGCCGCCCGGCGTCTTCGTTTCTCTCGCGGGGGGAGAAGCGGCGGATATTTTTGTTTCATTTCGCAAATTCCCGGCCACGCATCCTAACTTCCCGAGCACGGTGTGTCAAGGATGCACGGCCGCTCATTTTCACCGCAAGCAAGAAAGTTGGTACAAAACTAAAACCCCAGGTAGACTGAGCAGAGACGTAGCCATTTCGGCTACTCATGTCCCTACAAGGTCCCAACCCTGATCGCGATCTTAGGGGCTTGCGTTTGCTTCTGAATGTCCGAGCGCGCAGGCGCCAAACACCACAGCAACAACAAAAGCAAGAAACAACAACAGAAGAAGCAAACTACAAACCCCTGCATCCTTCTTTCCCCAACGGCTCGTAGAGTGGATTGGATAAGCGGGGTGGGGGGGCGCAAAAGCTTGCATTTGCTGACGAATCTAGGTTATTTGCCCCTGTTGTTTTTTGAGGGAATCTATCACTGCTGGAAGTATCTTCTCATTCTTTCCAGGGGGCTTAAGCAAACGGAAGTAAGCCGAGGCCGAAATTTTCGCCGCAAACAGACGGGGAGGAAGAACATCGGAGGCCTTGAAGTGGAGCTGAAGGGCCTGGGCTGGTGAGAGTTTACTGCTAGCCCCCTGTTTTGGACCTCCCAAAGTGGGAGTTTGGTTGGAATCCACCACCAAGCTGCAACTTTTGAGGGAAATCCAGTGACCCCTTCATATTTTGTCTGCATAGTTTATGGCAAGCTCACCTGGGAATAACACGAGCTCACAGATTTTTGGGGATCAAAAATTATACTTCAGGTTTTGGACATATTGTTGTGCTGTTACCGTGTAAACGCAGCCACCAGTCACCGATTTGAGGCAAAGGGGAACAGAGGTTTTGGACATATCGTAAATTTTGCAGACCTTTGGTTTTCCAATTTTGGTCCATTGTTAGTCATGGTCCCACAAGGTGAACCTTGTATTTCTGGGTCCGAACTGGGCATCTGAGTAAAAGAACCCCACCCATTTTGCTTGGTTGTGAGGGGGGGTTCTTGTTTCATAGAAAACGAACGCCGCCTTTTAACCTTGGGGGGAGGGGTCTCCAAAAAAAACAAACAAACACGGCCACAAACCTTCTCCGCGGGGGTTTTTGGCCGTCCGTAGCGAGCTTCTCGATCCCCATCCCAGGCTCTGCCCTGCTCACGCTGGGCACTGGGCCGTCGGGGGCCCTGGGCTTGGAGTTCGGGGGATCAAAAGAAAAGGGTGGTTTTTGTTTTTGTGTTTTTTTTCTTCTTTTTTTGGCCCCGTTTTTTTTTTCCCCGCCCCCCCCCCCCCTTTTTTGGCGTCCCCTTTAAAAAAGCACCGAAGAAAGGGGGGGGTAGCCTCGAAAAAGGCAGACCCATTCGGAACCCATAGTATGTGTCCGTGTTCCTGTTTGGTTCCCCTTGAATCAAACCCAAGAAGGGCGCTCCGCCTCCAAAAACACACCCGTCTCAGCTGGCGGGCCTGGGGGGAAAGAAATGGGTAAGCCAACACGTCTGACTTCAACAAACTGTGCAAGCAGTCTCCCTGTTTTGGGCCTGGTTGTATCTGACGACACATCCATTCGGGGATGAATTTCGATTGTGGACCCCTTGGTTGATATCGATTCCGCGGGCAAACGTTGCTGAACTCTGAGGTTCTTGACATCAGGTCGGCTGGGGGTGGTTGAGTTCCTCCAAGAGGACAAGTAGGTTTGTAATTGTTGGGGGCAATCTCAAAACACGCATGGTTTTCCATTAGTTTCTCTCGCGGAAAGGACACACCCAAGTGGGTTTCAGTGTACCTTGGTCAAACAGTGGAACCCTGCTGAGGTAACCACCACGTTGAATTCTGGGAAGGCGATCATTTTGCAACACCGGATTGCGATCATTCTACACCGTGAGCAATATCACGATCATTTCACAGCACTGGAGCCAAATGGCGATTATCTTACAACACATGGGCGCGAATAGATAGTGATCATTTTAGCCCGCATGGCGATTGTTTTGCCACAAGTGGGCCACACCGCGATCATTTTTAAGCACTGACGAAAAGACCTTTCACATTGCTGCAAGCGATCGCTTTCGCCCCATTCCTTCATGGGCTCTGGGGCAATTGGCAAGACAAATATCACGAGCACTCAAAACACCCGCTCGGCACTGCGCCTGCCCAATGATAAAGAGCACCCGCGCAAGAGCAATCGGTTCAAGAGCGCAAGAGCATCCGCTTAGCAGTGCACGGGTGCCTGCCAAATGGCAAGCACAGCCGCTCAAGAGCACCTGCTCAGCTCTGCTGTGAAAACTGTGGAAGCCGCGGACATCATGCTCTGCCGTGGAATGCGGAAATTGTGGAAATCATGCAATCCATGGAAGCCGTGGAAAACGTGGGCACACGGACACACGCGTTGGAAAACGATCAGAATCTGCGCAGCAAGCCGATCGGAATTGTACGTTTGTTTCTTCGCGGAAGTTCTTGTGATATTAATTATGTAACATTAACAACACAGTATAGTCAAAGTTCACATAATAAGGGATCCATGTTGAGACACACCTAAAATGGCAAAGGGGACCTTAGCAGGGAACCACCTCAAAAGTGGTTCATGGACATGAATCCCCTAAATGATGTCGATCATTTCGAGTCATTGTCATTCATATTTTATTTGGTGGCGTTTGCGTGTCGTTCTAGAAAACGGTTTGGATGTGGCTTTTGTGGATCCACCCCTGAATTTTCAACAAGCACTAACAAATTGCTAAAGAAGGACCAACACTTTGAGAAACCCTCAAAAAGACGCCTCCACATCGTTCTCTAGATCTGCTTTGGGGCTTGTTATCCGACCGACAGGAGATTATATGTTCACAGAGTCGAAGGGAAATCTGCAAAAAGCTCCGGCTCCAAACCCGTTCTCGAACGAGTCGTCGTTGAGGTTCCTCTCCGAGATCTTCGGGGTCGAGGCGCATTTGCGGCACAGCGAGCTGGCGAGCTTCGCGCCGGTTCTCTTCCTTCTGCTCACGCGCCTCGTTCGGGAAAGGTCTCCCGTCTCGGGATGTTTCAGAAGACTCCTCCACCTTTGGGTAGACGAACGTGGAACCCTCCAGGGGTCCTGTTTGGAAGACTTGGTACCATTTGCAGAGGCCCTCTGGGAGAATGCTTCCATGTCAGTTGGAGGGAGTGTGACATCCCCGAATGTCTGCCAGAACCTGCGCCAACTAGGGCTGCCTCCAAAAGTGGTCTGAATCCTCACAAGGCGACAGTGGGGGACCCCGATCAAAATCAACCAGTTATGAATCTGGGGTCAACATTAGACACAAAGGGCTTGTTTTGGTCGGATCCTGTCTCTGAGGAAAACCAGCTACACCATCATGGCGCTATCTATGCCGATCCCCGCAGGCCGGATTTGATTTGCCCAGCCAGGTTGAGAGTTCCTTTCTGCTTTACCGAGAAGTCTGTTACGCAAATGAGCGATGTGCTAAAACCCCTATGTGAAAGTAGTATTCGTCAGGAGCTATGGTGTTTAACCATGTTTTAGTGTTGCTTTGCGGCCGCGAAAGACCGCGCCAGGGTGCACGACAGGGTGCGCAAGAGGGTGCGCGAAAGGGGCTTCCCACTTGCTTACTTGCGAGGTCGCGAGAGGGCCAAAGGTTTGCCCACGAAATTCATCCGGGAAAGGCGGACACTCGCTGGAAGCCCACGTCCCACTCCGCGAAGGGACGCGACCGCCGCGCGAAGGCCTTCGCGGAAAGGATTTGATCACTTGGGGTGTGGCTCAAAGTGACGCCAGAGGTACGCAGGTGGCCATTTGGTACCATCTGATTCAAGGGCTTTGGTGCCATCTGATAGGTTGGCCATTTTGGTACATGTTTCGTGAGCCACAGCCATGTCTCTTCGGCAACTGAGGCGTGGTGGCCCCCTCCCTGATGATCGGCGGCCTCCTGGGGCGGGTGATTGCGTCCCTGCTGCTTGGCGGGTCTCGACCGAAGAGTATTTTTTTGAAAATGGCTCCTTTGCTCTTTGGGTTGTTCTTTGACTTTTTGACTTTTGGAACACGTTGGTTTCTCCGAATTCACAAGCAAGCAGACAAGCAGGATGTGCAGCTTTGGCACAGTTGGACCAACCGAGTCTGCCTCCGTTTTGCTGGCGGATACTGGCGCCCAACGGCTCCAATGAGGGCGAGTACATCGCAAGGCCAGGGATGGTGCTGCAGCTTCCCATTTCCCAATTCAACGCCGCGCTCATTTGGGCGTGTCTTTCTTAAAGGGTAATTACCTGTTTGGTGGTTTTGAAGGGAACACTAGGAGAAAAACCGGAGCTATTTTGCCCTGAAATTCAAGAGACACCCATCTGATCGAAATTCGATTCGAGAACGCTCTCACGCGAGGCCGTGCTTGTCCAGCAGGTTTACGCCAAGCTTCGAACAGATGACTGAAACACAAGCATAGACAAGTGGTATTGGGTCCTCTTCTTTTCCAGTCAAACCGATTTGCCAAACTGTCCATGTCTGCAAAGCCGTTACCCATTTAGGAGTCGTTTGCCGTCCACGACAACACTTTTTTGGGGTCGGCTAACAAACAGGTCGCACCCATAGCCACGTTCTTATGGAATCTCTAAAGGGAGTAGGTACAAGGGGGGTGGGTAGTTGAGAGCCCGTTTCGGGCTTCTTAGGGTTCCCTAAATTTGGTTAGGGTTCAGGGAGCCTTAGGGAATTCCCTCCCCCTTCAGGGCATTTTGATCGAATCTTCCGACGCGTTCGACGCTTTCGCCTTCGCGAGGCTGGCGATCGTGGGGGCGACCTGCTTCTGCGGCGCGGTGTGCCGGGCCGCGCTCCCAGAGTGCGGTGCCCTCCCACCAATTGGAACCGTTCGGGGGCTCCTGAAAGCGTCAGGTTCCATGTTACTTGGTGGGAGGGTACCCCTTGGTCCTCTTTAGGGAAACCGAAAGGAGGTCGTTCTATGGTGGTTCCAACTTGTTCAAAGGCTTGGCAAGTCCAATGCTTCGGTGTGCGATATGTGGGGGAAGTCTGTACTTCTAAGTAAGATTGCAAGCAGGATCAAAACCTTTGCCTGGAAAAGCACAATTTTGGGTCCCCCCCCCTACGAAAATCACATTTATCCCTCTTCTTTTGAGGTGAATTCAGTGGTTGTCACGGTCTTCGAGCTCATCGCCGTGCCGCGGTTGATCTTGCCGCTGACGCTGGCCACCATCGTGTCCAACTTCTGGGCCAATCGCTGCTTGGGCCTAGCGGGGCGTTGCGGGAAGCTGGAGCATCAAGTTTGGTGATGACTACATGAGTGAGCTAGTATATCTGGTAGAAAAATATATCATACTTATATAGTAGTTCTTGTGATTATAGTAACTACAGTAGTGATAGTAAATACAGTAATTGTAGTAACTATAGCAATTATAGTAATAGGAAATTGGATTCGTTCGAAGTCAAAAGAGTTATAGTAGTAATTATAAGAATTCTAGTCATTGTGTTGCCGCTTATGTTGCAGGTGAGAATCAACACACTGAAAGCCCTGGCATCCGATGGTAGTCGGTTTTTTTGGCGGTTGGCTTCCAATCCACGTGTCGCTTACTGGTGACCCTTTGGTGAAACGCGGGGCCCAGGAGGGATGGATCTGGATGCTTCGCTCACTTCCAAGTTGAGGACTGATGACCCACCACCTGGATTCCGTTTTGCCTTGGACAGAGGGGGTGGGGGTTGGCCTCTTTTTGGTTCCCCCCTTATGTTTCCCCTTATGTTTGGAAGCAAACTGCTGGAGTTCCCTTTCCCGCGCCAAAAAACAAAAACAAAACACGTGCCCCTTGAGCGCGAAGCGAGCGCGCGAGACATAGACGTCTCACGAGACGAGTCTCGCTGAGGGGTGGGGCCCTCCATCTTCGACTCCATTTTGCTGATGAAGAAGATCCCGGCCATGCCCACGCTGAGGGCCTCCGCCCGTGCGCTGCAGCCCGTGAAGATGGCCGGGAAGCCTCAGCTGGATCAGAGCAGATCGGATCGAAACCGTGTCCTCCTGTTTTTGGACTTAAGGCGATGGTTTCAGTGGAAGCCAGCAGTGTAAGTCATTCAACGTGTGGAAGAAGTAATCTGGTGAGGTCTGGATTTGTGGGTGTCCAGCATTGCCGAAAGTTCTATGTTCCATTTGGGAGACTTTGGATGAACGAAAAACCTAAGCCCCCCCCCCCCCCCGGAAAACTGGCAAACAAATGCCTCGTCTCTTGGAGCAAGTCATCTTTGACCTCTTCTACGCATGGAGAAATGGCCCGGGAACTTCTTGGGCCAAAATCAAAGCGGACCTGAGAGGTCCCAATGAATTCCCTCCTCATTTCAGCAACGGGTTTGTACCCTCGAAAGAGGCGCAACGGCTTTCCTTTTGGTTTTCTTTAGAATCAACTAAAAGGAGGCTCCCCCAAAAAGACACACCCAACTAAAACCAAAGGAGGGTGTTGAAGAAATGATTCAAAGGGTTCAAGGGGCTAGGCCCGGCCAAAGCCTGGTGTCTACTTTCATGCGTGGATTCGCTCGTGCTGTGCTGGGAGGCAAATGCTTCGCCGGTCTTCGCACAGCGATGTTCGACATGAGAACCTCTTGAAAAGGAATCATCCCGCTTTGTTGGAAGCATCATGTGCAGGTAGTATAGAGGCCAAATTAATTATGTACATGTGTTTCATTCATCATGACAGGGTTTTGAAGTTCCGAATCATTCCAATTGCTTGGACCCTACCTGGAAGCACCCCTTTTGGTTGTGTCTCGGCCCATTTTCCGAGATCTTGAACCCGGGCCTGCTGGGCCTCTGCCTACCGCGGCTCGCGCAGAACCACGACTTTGTGCGCCTGAGATTCGCCCCTTGCAACCAAACAACGCCTGCTGGTTTTGCTGATTTAAATAAGAGGCCGTTTGCGAGACCCCTAGTTTTTTGTGGTTGTGTGAGTTTGGTGTTAATCCCCTGTTTGTTTGGACAACTTAGTTGGTGGTTTGGATCGGATTGGGGCCAATCCGGACCACCGATCGAGGGGAAGCTGAAGAGCCAACATGTTGTACGTGCTTGACTAGTTCACTTATCAACTTCTTCCAGTCTTGATCAGAGTCCTGCTTGGCATGAGGTTTTGCGACCCCCGCACTTTGACAGGGGTCATGGTTGTTGAAAGGTCAATTGAGCAGCGGCCCCAAAGAACACTGGCCATTTTAGTAGGTGGTTCTACCACATTGTCTTGTGGTGTCGGCCGTCGGGACATCCTATCTAAACATCCTATATAAACACCCTCCTATCTTGGAACCCAAAGTCAATGGGTGCTGCATGTGACTGGTTGATCCACTTGCGGGTGTCTGTTTTTGAAGTTGGTACTTTTTTTTTGGGTTTTAAAGGGAAACCAATAGTGACAAATTGTTGCTCCATATATACCCAATACGCATGTACAGGTTGTGCGACTCTGTGTTTTGGCTCAAGTAAAAGTCCGCTCCGCAGCGGACCTAGAGCTGAACAAGTCACTTTTCATGGTAGCGGGAACCGGTGAGGATCCAGGCAGACGGAGCATCTGGTATTTTGGTTCTACACCAAGAGGCGCGAAAGGCGCAAAGGGCGCGAAGGGCGCCAAGGACCAGAGGGAGCTTCAGCCGGGAAGGCCGCCAGGCTCCAGCAGCTGAGGAAGCCGCGGCGGCTCCAGAAGAAGCCGCAGAGCCCCGGCCGAAGAGAAGGCTGAGGAGGAGCCAGAGGGGTTCCCCGCATCACCGGACTGGTCGCCAGACGAGCCAGCTCCGGAGGAGCCAGCCGAGCGTAAGAAGGAGTTCAAGGAGTTTGAGAGCTTCGGATGATTCGGATTGGGGGGAGTGGAAGCCCAAGTGCGACCCGAGAGCGGAAGGGGGGTCCGCGAAATCTGGGTTATTCTTGCCGTGATTGTGGGCGCAGATGACCCGAATTTGCGGGCGCGGCTGAGCCTGGAAAACATCGAAATTTCAAGGCAAAGTAGTACTGGGTGGTATTGCGTGTGTCTTCTCTGGCACGGATGACTCCAAATATGTGGGCGCGGATGACCCTGCTTATGGGGGGTATCATGACCATAAGTAGCGCGAGATCTTTGTGCTGCGCGCGGATGACCCTGTGGAGGACCAGACTGTGGGCGCGGATGACCCTCTGAGACGCTGGGCGCGCCACGTCAGCTTTGCGTGGCAGGCGCAGCATTTCGTGGCAGGCGCAGCATTTTGTTGTGTTGGTGTTCAGATTGGTGTAGAATTCGTGGCAGGCGCAGCACGTTCGCAAGGCCAAGTATAGATTTGATGACAGGCGCGGCGTTTGCGCAATGCTGGCACGGACGCGTTGTAACTTCCATTGGCGCGGACGCCGCTAGTAGTAGTAGTAGTAGTAGTAGTAGTAGTAGTAGTAGTAGTAGTAGTAGTAGTAGTAGTAGTAGTAGTAGTAGTAGTAGTAGTAGTAGTAGTAGTAGTAGTAGTACTAGTAGTAGTAGTCGCGGCCAGTCGCGGCCAGTCGCGGCCAGCTTTTGGCTGCGTGCTCGCGTGCAGCTCGGCTTGTGCCCCCGCGCAGCTCTCGTTCGCAAGCCGCAACCTTTCAGTGTAAAATTGGAGCGGAAAGTGCGCGCAGCCAGACATGTGGAGAGGCCGTTCTTCCTCGTCCATTCGCGTGCGTTCAGTTTTTTTGGGGAAGCCCGCTTCCACACTGGAAGGTTGCTGGCCGTGTGTCCTTCCCCTCCCCCAACATTCTGTCTGTCATCTGCTGGGGGTGCGGGGAGGCACTAAAAGGATCGTGGAACCTGAGCTTTGTTGCAAGTTTTTTGGGGTTGTTTTGTTCCCTCCACATCACCCTGAAATATTGCGAGACAAAGGAACCATTGCAGGCCGCTTACAGGTATACCACGTAAGGCAATCCACCAAGGACTATCCATTCTCGAACCATCCGGAATGCCGGTGGATTTCAGCTTCTGCACTCTTTGCACTGCTGGTTCCTTGTACCTTTGCAATAGCCACTCCTTAATTGCGAATCTGTCTGTTGACCCGCTGGGGATTTTCCCCCATAAGTCTTTGAGCTCATCGATCCGCACCAGGTTGTGGCAGCAGAATAAAATGGTCAGAAGGTAGTTCTGGACCGTCACAAGTGACAGCCTTCCTGGGTGAGGCTGCGTATCCTTCAGGACGTCGTTTAGCCAATGCTCCGGTGTATCCGCGGTGTTGCTGCTAATCGATGGCGTGGCCCCACGTTTTGGGCAAAATCCGGAATTCGGTCTTGCCGGTCCACTGTGTTGGAAGTTTACAGGTCCCATCATTTGGGTCCCGCCAGGCGTCAGTGATGCATTCGGACACACCCCCGGCGATTTGAATGGACTCTCTGTGGAATAGATTCAGGCGCCGCACATACAGATCCTCAACTACCAGTTCCCTCCTGCGATAAGGTACCCATAGGCCCAGGGCCTGAGCCTATGAGTGGGCGAAATTTGCCCTTTGTTGCCAAAAGACAATTGCCCAGTCTGCGAGTTGTTTGTGTATACCTTTCAGCAAGGTTGCCTGTATGCAAGGCTGGGTCTGGGGCTACGTGCTCCAACTTGGTCTCAAGTCCTGAACGGGCACGCATTTGCTGAACAGACTTCATCAACTGCTTCATTCCGGGCTCGGTGTCACCTCGCAGCACGATCTTCGGGTAAACATTTGCAAAGCGACCAATCTCAACCAATGCACTTCTCAAGGAAACATTTCCCTTTGATTTGCAAGGCAATGCAAAGCAACTCTTTGTGTGATCTTCCACTCCAACCAGATGCACTAACATGTGGTCTTCTAGGCCCTGAGCTTCTGGTTTTCCCGTGCTCGCTGAAGTAAACATGTAGCCCAGTGACAGAACAGGTAGAACTGCTTCATGGGTCTTGGCTGGTCCATCTTCCCGTGAACGGCACGAAACACATGCTTCACACCATGATGCAACTGGAATATGTGTGGCCTGATGCAAACGTATCTCAGCTTCACTTGGCGGGACCGGCAAGGCTTGCGCGTCTGGTCTGCGGATGCCTTCATCATGCAGCTGCTGCGCAACTTCATTCTCCATGGATCTGCGAGTTTGCACCAAGTGTGGCTTGATGCGGCCCAAACATTGATCAAGGAAAGCCAACGCTTCCCTTATCACACGC